CGGCGGTCCCTCCGGATAGCCGTTGGGATCACTCTTTCTAAATGACGATCGGATTGACACAAATGGGGTAAACCATCGTTCTGTAAACGGTTCCACCGATGGGACAGTCGACTTGTTTGTCATCTCAACATTTCTTATCATATAGTGTTGACTGACATTAGTTTTTGATCCCATTTCTGGTAATTGTGTTTGTTTATTATCGGATTTAGTTCTTGTAATCATGGGAAGTGTTGCTACAAATACACTTCTGTACCAAAATATGTTAACTTATTATTGAAAACAATTATACATTTGATTTATTAGCAAACCTTTTAATGAATTGATATTTCAAACGATACATAACTTAAGATTAATTTATTTTAAAATAATGTTTACTATAATTACTGTAACTGTTATAAATAAATGTTATAATGGTTTAAGTTAAGAATTTTAGTATTTTATACTTATAATTACTTATTTTGTTGATAATTAAATAAAATAATTGCATGTATTATATTTGAAATTCAAATTCAAGTATTTGAATGTCAGTAAATGTCTTAATTTAGTCATAAAAACAATATAAAAATTGAAATCTTAACACTGAAATCGCATCAGAATTAAATGCATTGTTAAAATGCGAGAATTTGCCACATTTTAAAACTAGTTTTATTACTTTAATGTCTCATAATTCTTGACACAACAATTGAAAAACATCATAACAGTAGCAAATGTTTCACAAATTTATATTAACTCATAACAAACAACAATGAAGACTATTATCAAAACAGTAATAATTTAATAATTACGTTAATATCATGGTAAATTATTGTTGAAAGAATTTTTTCAATTTAAATAACCAATCATTTAAACCAATACTAATTAACGTTAAGTCATAACAGATTTGGATTAGTTTACAAACTGGTGTTTTGCTTAAATTGTTGAGTTTGTGTTTAAGTGATTGAATTGAATAATAATGAGTTGGTTACCGAATTGGGGTTGGTTTGGGAAATGGTCGGGAAATACGCTCGAATATATGGTCGACTATTTTGTGGTCGTGTTTGTGATAGTATTGGTGTTTATATTGGTCTCAGTTCTGGTGTATTGGTTCCGAATTCACTACAGACTTGTTGTACAAAGAGATCGTCTCATCCGATATGAGAAGCGAAAGAGAGCTAAATATAAGCGAGAAGTGAAACGATATGAAACGGAGGGATATTTTATGGCCACCGATGAACCCTGGGATGTGATCTTTGTATGACTTTTTTTGGTCAATTGATTTGAATCTAATATTTGTGTTTCATTTTTAGGACGAAAAGCAGTCAGAAATGCATTTCAATAGATCTGATGGTAAGAAGACCTCTAAGAGTGGCTTTAAATACTGGCCGACAGTTGAGTGAAACGTCTCACTATTTATACGATTCTGTATTTCAAACTTTATTTCAAAATTTTTGCATTCATTTAAGAAATTTATATTTTTTGTCAAATTGTTATGAATTGAATTAAATGTTATTTTATTTTTAAATTTCAATTATAATTGTAATGATAATACAAAATATCACAGGATTTCTGAGAATTTACTCATTATTTTCAAAGAGTAATATAAAATTGAAATATAATATCACAGATAAATGTCATTAAAACATATAAATAGATAAAAGGGTTTAACATTAAAAATGACAACAATTTGTGTGTAATTTTTAGCCATAAGTTCGTCGAAAGTGTTTCGATATATTCATTATATTCTGTAATAAAACATAATTTTAAACAATAATCGCATTCATAGTAAAAGGGTATCAGAAATACATGAGACATAAAAATGTTTACAACAAAAAAAACAAAACAATTTCATTGAAATTGTCGTTAAAAAGAGAGGACTTGAAGATAGAGTTACTCTAAAAGGGCGTTAAGTAGTGATCAAAGTCTAGTGTTGGGTACCATTAAGGCACAGGTAGACAAATTGGTGCACTCATTCTCATCGCTGAACAGACACCGGGGCTGAGCGTATTGGGTGTGCGGTTCGGCGTATTCGTGGTCACTGTTGGCCACGTGTCGGCCCAAAACCATCTGATGATTGGTCATTGAGTTGCGTCGGTTGGGAGTGGCGTAATATGAAGTGGTCTTCCCGTAGATGTCATTCCCGGGTCCGCTCGAGTGGCTCTCGAATATCTTGGGCTTCGAAGTACTCCTCACGAAGTCATTCATCGGAAACACTTCGCTCGAGAGTTCGCTCTTCGGTATGGAATTTCTGGGATCCAAATGGTTGGCCGACTGATTGGCCAAACGTTGTCTTCTCATGAATGCGAAGAGTGTGGAGAGAACTGCTATTAAGACGACGATTGATATGACAATCGGTAACATAACCGTCACGTTATGAAACAACGAGAGCGAAGCCGTCGACTGCGAGACAACACTTGTCGGCGGATTCATTGAACCAATTTTTATCACTAGAGATGTGTTGGGAGTTGTGAACCGATACTCGGCTTCTGTTATGCCTTTTAGTAAATATACAAAACAGTGATTAAAATGACTTTTAATTCAAAACATGTCATAACAATTGCATACCAGCGTCGGTGTGGGCGCCGACATAGAGATCGTATTCATGTCCGGGACTTAACTGATAGATAAGGAACGGATCGTATCGGTTAGAGAGTCTGTCTTTTAGGATAATCCACTGTTCCTGTCGTGAAAGTCTGTATTTAATGGTAAAGTAATTGATAGGACAGCCGCCCGATTGCCAACTACTCAATCGGAGCGCCACTGAAGTAGAGTTCGGGTAAATAAACTCATCCCTCGAGGGAGAGATGGGAGCCGTCCCTTTCGTCGACGTGCTTATCGTTTCACCTGTTTATACAAAATATTAGTTAACATCACTTTACAAATACATGGGTTCGGAGAGCACTCACTCGGTTCGCCAGTTCCCAGACTATTGGTGGCCGTCATATACAGCAAGTATTTGGTCCCGCATTTAATTATGGATTTGCCGTCATTGGAGTCCAACACAAAGTGATTGCGTTTAGTTTTGAGCCGTTTCTGTGACCACTGGACAGACTTTTCTTCCTTGAAGTGCAACACATACTCCTTCTCTTCGGAATCCAATTCATTGATATCCCATCGAAGGGTAATCGAGTCCACAGAAGTGGTCACCACTTCCACTAATGGCGATCGCGGCGGTTGGGACTCAAGTGTCAACACTTTGATCTAAATATAAAACATGATCAAAATAAGTACAATAACAATACAAAACTCGCAAAATAGCGATACCTCATCAGATCGAGGACCGGCGCCAATACTATTATACGCCTGAAGAATAATCGTGTAATAAGTCTTTCGCTTGAGGTTAGAGATATAGCTCATCTCAAAGCGGTTCCCATCGTTATTAGGCGTGGACTCAACGCTCTTGTATGAGAACTGTTCGCTGTTATCGTTGGCCACTTTGTAACCGATGTAATAACCCTTAATCGGGCCGTACTGTAAGTGTTTGGCCGGAGGTTTCCATTTGATCTTCAGCGACGTGGAAGAGGTGGCCTCAGCCATGACATCGGTGGGCGGCCCTCCGGGCACCTCCTCGTTGGTGGTGAATGTAGTGATAACACTGGCGTCGCTTCTGCCCAACGAGTTCTCGGCCTTAATCTGAAGCTCGTATTTACACATGGGTTGGAGGGGACGGACTATCACACGAAAATCGTTGCCAGTATTGGTGGCCATCTCTTTTTAATCGGGCCGTACTGTAAGTGTTTGGCCGGAGGTTTCCATTTGATCTTCAGCGACGTGGAAGAGGTGGCCTCAGCCATGACATCGGTGGGCGGCCCTCCGGGCACCTCCTCGTTGGTGGTGAATGCGGTGATAACACTGGCGTCGCTTCTGCCCAACGAGTTCTCGGCCTTAATCTGAAAACTAACAAACCGTTCAAATATTAAAGTTTACTAAAACTTATATTGAATTCAAAATAAGCGCTCATTTGATACACAGATTGAGAGCCAATGAAAATGTAATCACTTTTTATTCAAGTGATGCAATTTGTTGTCAACAAAAACTTTGACAAACATATTATGGATCTCTTTATTTGTCACTCCATTTGATCTCATATTAGGTGATGTCTTCGGCGCTCACTCTCGACAGTCTATGCGATGACGTATTGCTCAAAATGTTTGGCCAATATCTCGACCTCAGGAGTCAATTACGGGTACAACAGGTTTGCAAACGCTTTAATCATGTGATTGGACAGCATTTCGCCGGCAAATGCTCTCTCCTCTTAAGCGACGGTCACTTTGGGATCAGTTATGAATGCGAGGCAAGTGTTGGCCACTATTGGCGCCAATCAGTGAAGAGTTTGTATGCGTTGAGAGACGACAAGTGGACGTCTTATCCGCGAGGACTCCACCACTTGTCTCGACTCGACATTCAATTGCATTCACTCAACAAATACCAGAACATCAAAGAGTTATGTCTTGTGGCCAACAACGAGGACTCCAACGATACATCACTACTGGATCTGTTGGCCGCTTATTGTGGACCAAATGTTCGCAAATTGATAATCGTCTCCAATCGACTCAATGTGTCATTGGATAAGCAAATTGTTCGCCGCTTTTGCGACCGATTCTCCCGTTTGACACACTTTGAGCTCTTCGTGAACGTAATGATTGGGCCGAAGGAGTGCTTCGAAAGGCTATTGAATGGATTGAATGAATTGACTGCCATTAAGTCGAGAGTCAGACATCTCTTAACAAAAGATTTTGTTTACGACGAGAACTTCTTCGATAACCCGATTGACTCTTCGGACTATTCGCTGTCCAACACGTGTTTCGCACAAATGGGTCACCGCTTCACCACAATTGATGTCTTCAATAATATCATAAACAACGAATCGATTCAATGGTTGGCACAAAACTCATGCCTTAATAATGTTAAGCATTTAGGAGTCCATGAATTGGTGGTGAACTCAATGCAAGCCATTTGCGATCATATGTCTGGTTTGGAATCGCTTTCCTTCTCAATGGACGACACATTGGATGCAATGGATTGTCGAGTAATGCTTGAAATGGTCGGACAGTTAACTCGTCTCAAGACATTGAAACTCAAATGGTTTGGCAGTTATTCCAATACAGGACCCGAAGTCAGCCGAACGACACTCAATGGACTCATGAGTTGTCACAGTTTGAAGACATTCATTATAAAAGATGCCATTATTACAAGTGAATCCATTGATGCCATGTCTGTATGTCTGCCATCGATAGCGACTCTGGAGCTGATTAACTGCGCTTCCAATGAAACCACATTTCATACAATCAATCGGTGGCTAACTCTTAGGCAACTAATTGTTGGTAAAAAATCTATTTATAGTTCGAAGAAACAGGTGTTTAGTATCGATCACTCGAACCCACGACTCGCAGACGATATAACCGCCGATTGTGTGGCAATGAATCTGATGAACACATATGTGGTTCCAATGGCCGCACATTTGCCACAACAACATGATCTCAATTTCAATGATTTGGTTCTGTGGGACGACCCGTGGGAACACTTCGCCCATGATTTGGATGATCAGCAAAACTAATGAATGCTTTTCTCATTGTCTGCTAATCAACGCATTTATTACTCAAAAATATATGAATTACAAATAATTTTTTGTTAATTACATGTTTAGATATTTAATATTTATAAATGATATAATTTTTCATTACTTTGGTTCATATTTTGTTAATTATTGCATTTATTGATCGTTTATCACTTTTCTGTAATATGAACAGACATTACATTTAATTCGATTTATACCTCATTTATATATTTGACTATTATTTGCAGTAATTTTTGATCTCATAATTAATTATAAAGAATAAAAGTATTTTACTTTTTAATAATATAAGCAATAAATTATCAAATACTGTAATATGTAAACCATATGTTTGTAACCGATATTTTATTACATATTTTTTAATTAATAAAGTTATTTGCTTTAATTGTGTACACAATCTATTAAAACTATTTTTGACAATTTAAATTATATAAAAGTTTAGGTAAGAAAATGTCATTTTAATAAATAGCTGTTAATTTGAGTTTTAATTGTGTTTTACGTATTGTTTGGCAAAGAATTCATTGTTATCTTTAGTGATAAGAATTGATACCCAATTGAAGGACAATTGCATTCATTTTTATTTTGTAAATATAATTAAATGTATTTTATTGTCAATTCATTGTATAATTGAATCCATTTCTATGAAAAGTGTCCAAATGGTGATCGACTTATACTTCGTGGGTCCGAGTCCTCCGTGTCGGGCAGTAATGATGGCCGCAAAACACCTCAACATTAAACTTAACCCCAATTTTGTGGATCTAATGAAAGGTAATCGTTATTTACAACTAATAATCTGTCGATTCATTCATTAATTAAATTCTTAATGAATACTTCAGGCGAACAAAAGGAAGAGTGGTTTCTTAAGCTGAATCCTCAACACTGTTTGCCCACTATTTGTGACAACGGATACGTCTTATGGGAAAGGTATGCAAACTTGTNGATTTGGGAACCATTTATAGAAATATTGGCGAATATTTGGCACCCATTATGAGAGACGGCAAACATCCCAATGATTTGGATCCAGAAAAGGGAAAGAAAATCAAAGAAGCGCTTCAGATATTGGACGACTCGCTGGCACTACAGAGTTATGTCGCCGGCAATGATATCACTTTAGCTGATCTCTCGGTTCTGGCGAGCCTTTCGTTGGCCGAAGTGTTTGATTACGATATGATTAGTATTTACAAGAATGTCAAGCAATGGAGCGATCGTTTGAAGCGAGATCTGCCCTATTATGACGAGATCAACAAAGAGCCCATCAATATGTTTAAGGCTTATGTCAAGTCCAGAGCCGCCGATCAGAGCACTAATATTCAATGAATCAATGCTTTCATATTTGTTTCAACAAAAAAAACTATTTTCAAACATTTGTTTTCAAAATGATTTTATTTTCCATTCAAATGACAAACAAAACAATGAATTTTGAGTACAAATAATGTTCTCAAAGCGTAAATATATTTAACATAAAATCAAATGAATAATAAATGAATATTTAAAATAAATTTCCTAAAGTTTTGTTAAAAACCAACTTTTATATCAGTCTTCAATATGAGCTCCAATCCAATGGAGGTATGAGGAGACTAATCACGATAAACATATTATTCAGTTTTATTACACATGGTATTATTTATAACGTGGTTATAATTATAAGTTGATAAGCGTTATAATCGAGTTAAACATACCCTTAGTATAGACTCCGGGATATCCGGGTTGAGCGCAACCCTTTCCAAAGGAAACGACTCCCAATTGATAATACCTTCCACTATAAGACACAGTGAGAGAGCCTCCAGAGTCACCCTTTTATATGAATTGAGTTACTAATGAATTCGTGAATTAGTGATTGTCGGACACATACCTGACACGAGTCTTTGCCACCGTTTGGATACGAAGCGCACAATTGGTTTTCGTAGATCTGATCGGAAACAGTCAATAGGGAACTGTATCTCTTGGCACAGTGTGAATTAGTGATTGTCGGACACATACCTGACACGAGTCTTTGCCACCGTTTGGATACGAAGCGCACAATTGGTTTTCGTAGATCTGATCGGAAACAGTCAATAGGGAACTGTATCTCTTGGCACAGTCTTCCAGTTCACTGATAGGAACCTCAACTTCTTGTAAAACAGGGCTCGGCTTTCCTCCCTTTCCATTTAACACATCACAGTATTAAGTAATAAATTTACATCCATATTAAATTGCGCAAGCAAGTTTAGCAAATGTAAATAAAATACATTTATATCTAATTAGCAATACTATTAAATCGTAAAACACATGTTATATTCCAGTAATTGATGCAAAAAGTCATCGCACCTTAACTTTATGTGTCTTTCTACCCGGGAATGATAGGTAGACGCTATGCTTTCTACCCGGGAATGATAGGCAGATCGCTAATGCTTCCTGCCCGGGAATTACTGTGAATAAATGCAGTGAATGTTCTCAATGGAGAGAAGCAATGGTCGCTCGTATTTAGCCGACGGATCCGTTACAGCGAGACAAACGCCGAGACATCACTGCATTTGGTGGAGACTTAGGACTCGCACCGAGAAATGTCTTCTCATCACATGGACTACCGTTTCTCTCCTATTCTTCGGCTTAGTGTCAACTTTTGTTATATTGTTGTCACTTCAATATCATTATAAAACAAATGGTAAATCATTATAATTTAGGATATAATAAGATGACCATTATTTTAATGTATGAAAAATATCTAAATATATTGTTAAACAGTTTGCCTAACGAACGTTTGTATAAAATCAGGTTAGTTTTATACGACATAATATTATAATTAATGTAATATTAAATTAATTTTACTACTCAACCAAACTTATTATCCAAACAGCCTCTCGGATAATGTCATATATCGACGAGTCTGTGCCCCCGTGTCATGACTTTTACCGGTTTGCGTGTGGAAAGTGGTTAAACACATCACATATTCCCGAAGACAGCGATTTTATCTCTAGTTTTACTCAAATTCAAGATAAAATTGACCATCAATTAAAAGGTGACACCAATTATATAAACCGTGTTTATTTTATACAATATATAAGACGTCTGGACAATAGTGACGGAGAGTTACTTTCGCTAAGAAATTGGCAATTTTTGTACTTCTTATACATATTAAGAACAAACTTAAATTCACTCTTTTGATTTTATACAAAAATATAATATTGTATTAAAACATTGAAAGTATAGGCGCAACAAATGGTGATAATACTAAGTCATTGATGAAATATTTAAAACTATTGGGCGGTTGGCCTGTCGTGGAGGGCGACCATTGGAATGGATCGCAACTAAATATAATTGATTTAATGATTAAATTAAGACATTTTGGATTTCGACAGAATTTCTTCTTTCAACTAAGAGTTGCGCCAAATATTAAACGCAACAAAAAGTTTACGATTTATGTGAGAAATACTTTATAGAAAAAAGCAATATTTTCATAATTAAATGCAATAATGAAATATTGTTATAGCAAATGGGAACTTTAATAATACGTCTAGTGTCTTGGCCGTAAGTCAAGTGACTGTTTTGTCCTTAATTAGTTATTATCCTGAATATTTTACTCTAATATAAATCTAAAATACCAGCTATATACTGTGATGTTGGGAGCGGATGAGAAAAGGGCTGAACGGGAACTCAAAGAAGTTATTCAATTTGAATCGTTGATCGCAAAAGTAATATTTATAAGTTTTTTGGATTATCTTATATTTTACATCAATTCTTGTTTCAATTGAAATATTCAGACAATTAAATATTCTGGTGATTATCAGTACATCACAGTCGAGGAACTCGTTTCAAACGTCCCAAATGTAAATTTGTTTAGTATTTGTTTTAATTTAAGTTAAAATTTATTTGATTATCTTCCTTACCTAATCTGAAAATTCACCAAATGACAGACAATTAATGTGGCAGCTACCGTTGCTTTGATATCAACAAAAGTTATAAGTTTGACAATTCCGAAATTTAGTTTAATAATGTCTAATGTACGAGAATCACAGGAGGTTAACCATTTAATTTGAATACATGTTTACTGTACACAGCATTATAACATTAATGAGTTATTTACTTTATTAGAGTGTTGTTTAATTATGTGATATGGAAAGTAGTGTTGCAGTCACTGAAAGTATTGGGAAATAGTTTTATGAATGTTGAAAATGATTACTATTTACGAACGCATTCATTGAAACGAAATACAAAACGCTGGAAGAATTGCTTAAACCTATTGACTGCTAATATGAGGGCCGGAATCACGTCTCTCTATCTCAGCAATGATCCGACTAAAGAAGAAAAGCGATTATTGGTTTGCATACAAATTCTTGTTATTATAATTTTTGTAATTAATTTAGGCTTTGATTTAATTTGTATCTAAAGGCGAATAATATGTTTGAGAGAATTAAGTCGATTCTAACGGTTTTCAAAATATGAAAGCTAACCTACCTGCCTCTTTGATCTCTATCGCGAGAGATATTTGAATTTATGTAATTGTTGAAATAACCAATGTCTTTACTTGAAAATTTACTCTGGTATTAATCGGTCTTATATGAATCGGTTTGTATTTATATAAATTTATTTACAAACAGATTATAAATTAAAATCAAAATTGCATTAAAGTTAGAAAACTTAAAAAGCAATGAATTGTTTGAAAATTTTCTAAAACTTGGGAAATATTCTCTTAATGATGAATACCGAAGAATGTCCACAATTAACAATAGAACTGAGTAAATAATTTCTAATAATTTTAAATTTAAATTAAAATTTTTAATACAAACTTTTAAATCAATTATTTGTCAAAATAGTTGGCAAAACATTATAACAAATCCTGTTATTAATGCCTATTATTCGCCATACATTAATGGCCTCAAAATTCCCATTTGGATCCTTCAGGGAATTGCATTTGATATCAAACGACCGAAGTTTGTAATCATTTGTTTGAAATATTAATATAAGTATAATATGTTTTTATAAAATCAAAAGTTATCTCAATTACGGAGCCTTGGGTTGGATTATTGGCCACGAATTGATCCACGAGTTTGACAATATTGGCGGACGATTTGATAAAAAGGGAAATCTTAGGGACTGGTGGGATATCGACACTAAAGACATTTTTAATAATAAAACACAATGTTTTGCTCAACAGTACAAACAATACAATGCACTTAATGTGAGAATAATATAATATTTACACTTATTTCATGTCTAAACAATGAATATCATTTGACAGATTGACGGCAGATCTACACTATCTGAAGATATAGCAGATAATGGAGGTATCGATACAGCGTTTAAGGTATTATTCAGATTATATTTTTTATATCGAAAAATATATAAACAGAAAACAACTGAATATAGAGTTATCAAGATTTTGTGAGATATAATGGGAAGGAATTATTACTGCCGGGACTTAACTATACTCAGGATCAGCTCTTCTGGATAAGCGCTGCCAACGTATGCATTATTTTTACAACAATATTATTAACAATAAGTTTCAATAATAATTGCACTGAATTATGAATTGTTACTAAAATTGTCGTTATTTTGAAGGTCTGGTGCTCTAAACAAACGCCTTTAGCTAAAAGAATATTTGTTTTGAATTCAATTCACAGTCTTTCTGAAAATAGGTGGGAATTATTGTATAAAATTAACTTAATTAAAATATCAATTAATTATTGTATAGAGTTTTTGGTTCATTTGGAAACTCTGAGGAATTCTCCAAAACGTTTAATTGTAAAGAAAACGATAAAATGAATCCCAAAAAGAAATGCAAGCTTTGGTGAAAAAAGTTTACACGATTGTAAAATTGAAAACAAGTGTTAAGTTTGAAACTTCTGGACTTTTTTTTATAGAAATACATTTAAAGACTATTTTATTTTTAAAACTTGAAATTTACTATTATATAAAAAAATTATTTAATTAATTGATACACAAATTCATTGATTTTAATCCAAAGCAAAAATCGAGTTACTCTTTGATCTCATATTTTAGAAAATAAAATATAAAAAACTTGTAAAATTGAATGTTATGAACCATTTATAACTAATTTAACTTTTGATTTCTCTATTAACAGACTATTTTAGCGAAAAGCAATTAATACTCACCTTTTAATGACACTTATGGTTATATAATTTTGTTATGTTTTATAACCCCTAATGATATTAACCACAAGTGGTTTTAAATCCTTGTGTTTAGCTTCACGTCTCCCTTAAAACGTATTGTAACTAAAATTTGAATTTTATGAACCAATTGAACGGTTCATAGGTATAGGAGTTGGAAATTAAACAGTCTTACAATGATTGTCGAGAAGACGTGTCTTTTAAGAGTATTTGTGTTGAGTTTAAACGTTTTGTTAAGTTTTAGTGAACTATCGGATGATTCTGTGAAATCAGTGTCCGATTCCGACAACAAAGCAAAGGTCAGCAATAATGGGACGGATAGTCGACTATTTGGCGGTCCTTTACAGAAATGTGTGACCAAAGAGGGTCGGCTCGGCTTTTGCAAGTCTGGCGTTTGCCTCAATCTTATCGACAAAAAGGCAGTGTATTGTCAATCAGGCACTTCATACCACATGAAATGCTGTCCCGTATCTAATAGGGCGGCCGTTTTGCCTACAAACGAGCCGAGTATGCAATTATAATCTCAACCATTGTTTATAAACTTAGTTTTTAATAAAATGATTCATTCGATTATAGTCTGTGGTTTGCGGCCAAACAACAACTTCTTCATAGTGGGCGGTGCGGAAGCGCCGGCACACTCGTGGCCGTGGGCTGTGGCCATATACCAGAACTCGTATAAAACCAAAAAACTAAAATCCAGATTCATTTGCGGCGGAACTGTAATCAACGAATGGTATATCTTATCGGCCGCTCACTGTGTGGTCCGACAGACAGAGATCTTGACTCCGAACAGCTTTAAGATACTGATCGGCGCCCACGACAACAAAAACAGCGGATTCTACGCCGACGTCTCGGAGATCAAGATTCACGAGAACTTTATTTTCGGTCAACACCGCAATGATATCGCACTCTTCAAACTCACACAATCACTCGACTTCAGGCATAACAAGGATATCGCACCCGTATGTCTGCCCCCACCCGAGATTGAAAGCGCAGACCTGATCGGCACAATGGGGACGTTAGTTGGATGGGGTACTACTTCGCAGGTAAACCTTGTTTTACAAATTATATGCCAATTATTACATGTTTTGCTAATCATTAAGTAGAGAGTAAAAAGATTTTGCACATAAAGTTAAGGTGCGATGACTTTTTGCATCAATTACTGGAATATAACATGTGTTTTACGATTTAATAGTATTGCTAATTAGATATAAATGTATTTTATTTACATTTGCTAAACTTGCTTGCGCTGCCAAAAGTTTTATACTTTCGATTGGATGGACGGAGAAACTAGAGATAGCGCTCTCTATAAACTTAAATACATTAACAACTTTATTGGTTACAGAAATGAACTTTTAAATGAGACCATAATTAGCCATTTATATGAATCGGTTTGTATTTATATAAACTTATTTACAAACAGATTATAAATTAAAATCCAAATTGCATTAAAGTTAGAAAACTTAACAAGCAATGAATTGTTTGAAAATTTTCTAAAACTTGGGAAATATTCTCTTAATGATGAATACCGAAGAATGTCCACAATTAACAATAGAACTGAGTAAATAATTTCTCATAATTTTAATACAAACTTTAAAATTTATTATTTATCAAAATAGTTGGCAAAACATTATAACAAATCCGGTTATTAATGCCTATTATTCGCCATACATTAATGGTATCAAAATTCCCATTTGGATCCTTCAGGGAATTGCATTTGAGATCAAACGACCGAAGTTTGTAATCATTTGTTTGAAATATTAATACAAGTATTATATGTTTTTATAAAATCAAAAGTTATCTTAATTACGGAGCCTTGGGTTGGATTATTGGCCACGAATTGATCCACGAGTTTGACAATATTGGCGGACGATTTGATAAAAAGGGAAATCTTAGGGACTGGTGGGATATCGACACTAAAGACATATTTACTAATAAAACACAATGTTTTGCTCAACAGTACAAACAATACAATGCACTTAATGTGAGAATAATATAATATTTACACTTAAATATAATTTATTTCATGTCTTACACAATGAAAATCATTTGACAGATTGACGGCAGATCTACACTATCTGAAGATATAGCAGATAATGGAGGTATCGATACAGCGTTTAAGGTATTCTTCAGATTATATTTTTTAAACAGAAAAAAATATAAACAGAAAACAACTAAATATAGAGTTATCAAGATTTTGTGAGATATAATGGGAAGGAATTATTACTGCCGGGACTTAACTATACTCAGGATCAGCTGTTTTGGATAAGCGCTGCCAACGTATGCATCAGTTTTACAAATATTATTAACAATAAGTTTCAATAATAATTGCATTGAATTATAAATTGTTACTAAAATTGTGGTTAATTTTGAAGGTCTGGTGCTCTAAACAAACGCCTTTAGCTAAAAGAATATTCGTTTTGAATTCAATTCACAGTCTTTCTGAAAATAGGTTTGAATTATTGTATAAAATTAATTTAATTAAAATATTTATTAATTATTGTATAGAGTTTTTGGTTCATTTGGAAACTCTGAGGAATTCTCCAAAACGTTTAATTGTAAAGAAAACGATAAAATGAATCCTAAAAAGAAATGCAAGCTTTGGTGAAAAAAGTTTACACGATTTTAAAATTGAAAACAAGTGTTAAGTTTGAAACTTCTGAACTTGTTTTTATAGAAATACATTTAAAAACTATTTTATTATTTAAAACTTGAAATTTACTATTATATAAAAAATTATAAAATTAATTGATACACAAATTCATTGATTTTAATCCAAAGCAAAAATCGAGTTACTCTTTGATCTCATATTTTAAAAAATAAAATATAAAAAACTTGTAAAATTGAATGTTATGAACCATTTATAACTAATTTAACTTTTGATTTCTCTATTAACAGACTATTTTAGCAAAAAGCAATTAATACTCACCTTTTAATGACACTTATGGTTATATAATTTTGTTATGTTTTATAACCCCTAATGATATTAACCACAAGTGGTTTGAAATCCTTGTGTTTAGCTTCACGTCTCCCTTAAAACGTATTGTAACTAAAATTTGAATTTTATGAACCAATTGAGCGGTTCATAGGTATAGGAGTTGGAGATTAAACAGTCTTACAATGATTGTCGACAAGACGTGTCTTTTAAGAGTATTTGTGTTGAGTTTAAACATTTTGTTAAGTTTTAGTGAACTATTGGATGATTCTGTGAAATCAGTGTCCGATTCCGAAAACAAAGCAAAGGCCAGCAATAATGGGACGGATAGTCGACTATTTGGCGGTCCTCTACAGAAATGTGTGACCAAAGAGGGTCGGCTCGGCTTTTGCAAGTCTGGCGTTTGCCTCAATCTTATTGACAAAAAGGCAGTGTATTGTCAATCAGGCTCTTCATACCATATGAAATGCTGTCCCGTATCTAATAGGGCGGCCGTTTTGCCTACAAACGAGCCGAGTATGCAATTATAATCTCAACCATTGTTTATAAATTTAGTTTCTAATTAAATAAATCATTTGATTCTAGTCTGTGGTTTGCGGCCAAACAACAACTTCTTCATAGTGGGCGGTGCGGAAGCGCCGGCCCATTCGTGGCCGTGGGCTGTGGCTATATATCAGAACTCGTATAAAACCAAAAAACTAAAATCCAGATTCATTTGCGGCGGAACTGTAATCAACGAGTGGTATATCTTATCGGCCGCTCACTGTGTGGTCCGACAGACAGAGATCTTGACTCCGAACAGCTTTAAGATCCTGATCGGCGCTCACGACAACAAAAACAGCGGATTCTATGCCGACGTCTCGGAGATCAAGATTCACGAGAACTTTATTTTCGGTCAACACCGCAATGATATCGCGCTCTTCAAACTCACACAATCACTCGACTTCAGGCATAACAAGGATATCGCACCCGTATGTCTGCCCCCACCCGAGATTGAAAGCGCAGACCTGATCGGCACAATGGGTACGTTAGTTGGATGGGGTACTACTTCGCAGGTAAACCTTGTTTTGTAAATTATATGCCAATTATTACATGTTTTGCTAATCATTTAGTAGAGAGTAAAAAGATTTTACACATAAAGTTAAGGTGCGATGACTTTTTGCATCAATTACTGGAATATAACATGTGTTTTACGATTTAATAGTATTGCTAATTAGATATAAATGTATTTTATTTACATTTGCTAAACTTGCTTGCGC